CTCAAAATACCAACTCTATCACAGCATATATACAAGCTAAACGCAGATTTTTTCGATAAAGCCATAGAATGTAAAACAGCAAATTTTAATGAAATCTTTAAATTTGAAAATTATATCAAAGATAAAAACTACAGACCAATAGCTGCACATTTCACCTCCGACGCCTCATATCATAACTATCAAAACAAATAATTTCATCAACCTTTCTGAAAATAACGTTTACTCATGCTGATACAATTCTGAACAACTCCAAAATCACAGTTTAATGGGATAGGGGCCGCTTCGCGGTCCAGGTGCCCAATAAAATTAAAACACTAGGACTAGAACAATAAATGATAAGTCAGCCTGTCTAATTCAGGGGCTCTAGGCTCGTGTTTGGCCATCACCTCCTACATCAAAAAGCCTCCACACGGTTTCTCATAAGTAGTCTGCGCAGATTATTTGAAAAGCGAACCACTAGTGCGCATGAGCCCAAATTCTATTTTAAAAGTACTTGAGAGAAATTTATCATATATATTTGGGAATTGAATCTATCGTGGCTGACAAGTAAATAAAACAAACCAATTATATTCGTAAATTAAACAAATTTTTAGACATATATTTGCTACCACTTTCTAATTTTTAATAGATTTGATATTTAATGGCTCTTTCACAGATTGGTTTACCTTCGTAATGTTCTGATCAGACTACCTACAAAAAACCGTATGGAGTCTTTCAGTTATAGGAGGCGTTGCTTTGGTCCCCTTCCAAGCGGTAAACAACTCTCCAAACTTCATCGAGCTCATGGAAAAAAACGCGCTTACTGAATGTCGATCATTCTTTTCCGCTTTGTATTACATTAAGTCAAATCAAATTCGCTGCAGCTACAGCATCGTCTTTGACGTCGAACTCAATATTTCATACCTGCCAACTTTTAATCTTTTCCATTAAAATTTTTCCCGGTCATATTAAAATGGAATTAAAACTTGAATTTTAAGCAAACTTGAGTTGACAACTATGACTAACTAACTATTCAAGTTTTTCGAAGTACCTAGCCCTAGGATGGGCTATCTGCTTCTTCATCGAGATGTAGATTATTGGGAGTTGGGTAGAATTGTCCGTAGGAGGCTCATCGCTTCCTCGTCTTTCATCAGGTCTTGTAGTTCCTTGATTAACCCCTCGGGGACGGGTAATTCAGAAAAGCATTCGTACAAAATCAGAATCAAGTTGCTGACCGGGTAATTCTTGATCATTTCAGTGTAGAAAATCTTTTCATGGTTCGGCAGCTTGGGGGACAACTATGACAGTAACGCACATTAATATATGAATTTCATTTTTGTAAGAATAGTGGTGATCAAAATCATTTAAAAATTAAATTTATGAAAGAAAAAATAGTATATATTTACTACCACTTTAAATATGAAAATAAAATCTTCCGGAAAAGTTGGCAGGTATGATATTTGCTAACTGCGAAGTTTAAAAATAAGAAAAATTTGCATTTGTGACTCTCTTCTTCCATTTTAAGCACACGAAAATTGCTTATACCGTTATTTTATACAAGACTTACAATATCCTTTAATTATTTTGAGTAGTATATATATTTAATTAATATATATAAATATATGTTAATAATATATATTATATTATTAAATAATATATTAAGCTAGGTCATTATAGGACAACGTGCATATTTCAAGCCCATTTTAAAGTAAATTTAGTGCGAAGAATGCCCATAAAACAAACTCATTAACCCATCAATTAACAATCTCATTAATTACTCATTGACTTAACAAATTCATTAACTTTTAATTATAGCTTTTCAAATATAGGATGCTGTTAATAAATATTACGATGTTAACAGGAAAGAATTACTAAACAGTAAGTGTCTACAAACTTGAACTAAAAACTTAAAAAGCAATGAAATACTATGTAAACATTTGAAATTTATGAAATCTAGGAAATTTTTTAAAATATGCTTATTTTCGACAACAAAGAAGGATAAATTAATGTGAGTAATGCTTTTGCAAGATACTAAACTCCTTTTATCTGAAAAAAAAAACTCTTAAAAACTGCAAAGATATTTAAATTTCTGAACAGAAACTTTTACGTCAGCATAAGTTTAAGAATTATCATTTTGCTTAGATTTGCAACGAATAAGAGCGAGAGGGAAGATCCAATTCTACAAAATATACTTAAGTAATGTTTAAACGACCCCAAAACCATTATCGAAAGGTTTAAAACGTAATAGTTACGTTTCAATACCATTTTACTTTACAGAATGAATTTTTAAGAAACTCGCACCATTTCCTTTTCTTTATTTTAATTTTAATAAATTTCCTCGATTATATATATAGAAAAATGTCAAGCATTAATATAAAAAATATCAAAGTTTAATTTTTACGTAATACCAATTTATTAACTAAAATGCATTGTATAAATAATTTAAATTTACTCAAAAAATGGCAGGTTGTAGAAGCAATTAGTAGGTTTTTGTAAGTGTTCACTAGCTGAAAATTATGCTGGTGAATATAATGAATGAAGAGAAGTATTATCCAACTAATCGACCTTTGAAGGCTCTCGGGCTTATTTTTATTCATCAATAAAATAAATATGAAAAACCCTAATGTCTCATTAACACTAGGTTTACGGGACGCGTTATTTTGACGCATTTTAAATTTTATAAGGAAAATTACAAAACATGTTTGCATTTTTATTTTTTCTCTTGTAATGGCTTTTATCAAGTTATAAGTCAGTAAATATTTTTACAACACATGTTTATTATACAGTTTTATACGAAACATGCCATAAAAGTAAATATAATTTATCGATAACTATATGTTACTTATTTATCGTTTGATTGTAAAACGATAATTCAATTTGTTTCTCTTAAAATGTTAGCGTAATAATACATTACAATTTTGTTACTTTACAATATAATTAATTAAAAATCACGATTATTAGTCTTAAGCGTCTAAATTTTGATATGATTGTTACTTTGAATTTTACTATATCCATTTTAATAAAAAATATATCGAAAGTACTTGAAATGGCAGAATAGTTCAATATAAACAATAAAATATTTAAGAAAAATAATTGAAAATAACTTTTAAAATGTTTATTAAATATCTCGAAATTAAAATACTGTTATAGTTTTAAAAAAAAGTAAATTTGGTTTATAAAATCAAACATCATAATAATATAATTTTTTATGTTAGCTAAACTTTTAATAAATTTAAAATATTTTCACTAGTTAGGAATTTAACTTTAATTATTTGGCAAAATCTAAGTATATTTAGGTGAAATAAACTTTTCTTTTTTTAATTTTGATGCAAAAAAATGTGTTTGATAACTAGAAATTATGATTATGAAACAATTTGGTGATCTTGATATTTTAATTAGTAAATATATTTTTATTTACACGGCGACGTATATTTTTCACTAAAATTATTTATCTCCTATTATCAAAGGTTTTGAAGAAATCTGTAAAATATCAGTGATTCAATTGCAGTAAGCACTTTCTGTTGAGAAATTATTAAGCAACGCTAGTTCTTTAATTTGAAATGGTTATTGACAAAATTCGACTCTTTGAAAATGCATAATTATACCATTTAAGATCATTTTAAACATTTTTATGATCTAAAAAAGTTACAAGGTCTGTAAATAAAACAAACTAAAGTAAATTTTATAAAAAAAAAACTAGTGTTCAACAAAATGATTTGTCTATTGATTTAACCAATGGTACACACACGCACCATTTTATTTCTTACATAAAATATTGTTCTTAATGTAATTTAGGCATATTTAGGAAAATAATTCGACATTTTATAAAATTTCTATGCTAGGCCTAAAATGGGTTAAACAGTTTTAATAATTATTGAATAAAGTTTAGTCAAATTATTCATAATCCGAATGAATAATATTCGAATAAACCAATCCTATTAGAAGTGAAACACGAATATTAAATTTTAAACTCAAAACTAAATCTGAAATGATGGAATCATGATCCATAATGACAACAATAAGATGGAATCACGTTCGAAAAGTTGTTCTTGAAAAATAAACAAGAGAAAGAAACCATTCATTCGACACGGTCTCCTGCGTTTGCTTATTAACTGAAAAGAAAAAAAAAATGCCCTTTATTTTCGTTACTGGACGATCGTTCTACAAATGAATTGCAAAGGAAACGGTAAAGTTTAGTTGTACCTTAGCTGTTGATGTGTGCATACAACCTTTAGAGCAAGGTTTAGTTCCGCGTTAATGGTGTTTCGCTTCACAAATCTAAAGAGCATCAAGCTCGGGCCTATTTGGATTTTTGGAAATATATTTAAAATGGATTTTAAGGTATATATGATTTATAATTTTTCTGAAGACACATTATCATTGATTAATAAAATTAAACTTAACTAATAGAATAAAATTCTATGGTAATTCCGCTTTTAATTTAATCAATTTTTAATGTTTCCTTTGTTATTTTGGCTTACAAATCTAAAGAGCATCAAGATTGTACTTATTTGGATTTTTGGAAATATATTTAAAATGGATTTTAGGGTATATATGATTTATAATTTTTCTGAAGACAAATTATCATTGATTAATAAAATTAAACTTAACTAATAGAATAAATTCTATGGTAATTCCGATTTTAATTGCATCAATTTTTAATGTTTCCTTTGTTATTTTCGCGTACAAATCAAAAGAGCATCAAGATTGTACTTATTTGGATTTTTGGAAATATATTTAAAATGGATTTTAAGGTATATATGATTTATAATTTTTCTGAAGACACATAATCATTGATTAATAAAATTAAACTTAACTAATAGAATAAATTCTATGGTAATTCCGATTTTAATTGCATCAATTTTTAATGTTTCCTTTGTTATTTTCGCGTACAAATCAAAAGAGCATCAAGATTGTACTTATTTGGATTTTTGGAAATATATTTAAAATGGATTTTAAGGTATATATGATTTATAATTTTTCTGAAGACACATAATCATTGATTAATAAAATTAAACTTAACTAATAGAATAAATTCTATGGTAATTCCGATTTTAATTGAATTAATTTTTAATGTTTCCTTTGTTATTTTGGCTTACAAATCTAAAGAGCATCAAGCTCGTACTTATTTGGATATTTGGAAATATATTTAAAAAGGATTTTAAGATATATATGACTTATAATTTTTCTGTAGACACATTATCATTGATTAATAAAATTAAACTTAACTAATAGAATAAAATTCTATGGTAATTCCGCTTTTAATTGAATTAATTTTTAATGTTTCCTTTGTTATTTTGGCTTACAAATCTAAAGAGCATCAAGCACGTACTTATTTGGATTTTTGGAAATATATTTAAAATGGATTTTAAGGTATATATGATTTATAATTTTTCTGAAGACACATTATCATTGATTAATAAAATTAAACTTAACTAATAGAATTAATTCTATGGTAATTCCGATTTTAATTGCATCAATTTTTAATGTTTCCTCTGTTATTTTGGTTTACAAATCTAAAGAGCATCAGGCTCGGACTTCTTTGGATTTTTGGAAATATATTTAAAATGGATTTTAAGATATATATGATTTATAATTTTTCTGAAGACACATTATTATTGATTAATAAAATTAAACTTAACTAATAGAATAAAATTCTATGGTAATTCCGCTTTTAATTGAATAAACTTTTAATGTTGCCTTTGTTATCTTGGTTTACAAATCTAAAGAGCATCAAGGTCGGACTTCTTTGGATTTTTGGAAATATATTTAAAATGGATTTTAAGGATATATGATTTATATTAAGGATATATGATTTTAAGGATGTATGATAAGGATATATGATTAAGGATATATGATATGATTTTAAGGATTTACGATATATGATTTATAATTTTTCTGAAGACACATTATCATTGATTAATAAAATTAAACTTAACTTATAGAATAAAATTCTATTGGAATTCTGCTTTTAACACTAGGTTGCCAAAAAGAAGTCATTTTGACTGCTTTTTAACTGCTTTTTCATTTGCAAAAAATGTACAAATAATAATGGATAAATTAATATTTTCTTTCCAAGTGAAGTAAATTTTTTGTGGTTAATATTTACTAATAACTTGTTATATAGCTGTAAATAATATAAAAATATTGAAAATTAATTAAACAAATTTCTTTCCCCATTAGTTATTCTTTCACAATGCAGTCATTTTGATTGCTTTTGGGCTATATAGTTATATATACTAAGTTTCAGTCTTTCTAGCCTTAATTGAATCAATTTTTAATGTTTCCTTAGTTATTTTCACTATCTTTGTTTCTAAGTGCATCTGTACAACTTTAATTTTGTGTTAATGGCTTTTTGCTTCACAAATCTATAAAGCATCAAGCTCGATCCTATTTGAATTTTTGGTAGTATAATAAAAATGTATCTTATGGTATGGATATATGATTTGTATTTATTAGTATATTTTTAGGAAAATTAAAATAAAAATCAAGGAAAAATTAAATTTTTAAATTATGCTTAATTAATAGAATAAATTTTCCATAAAAATTCCGTTTTTAGTGAGATCAATATTTAATGCTTGCTATGTTATCTTTATTATCTTTGATTTTAAATATATCTTCACATGTCTCCTTTGTCATTTTCACTCTCCTTGTTTTTAATTACTTCTGCGCAACCTAAATTTTGTGTTAATGGTTTTTTGCTTCACAAATCTATAAAGCATCAAGCTCGATCCTATTTGAATTTTTGGGAGTGGAATAAAAATATATCTTATGGTATGGATACATGATTTGTATTTATTAATATATTTTTATGAAAATTAAAATAAAAATCAAAGAAAAATTAAATTTTAAAATTAATAGAATTACTTAATTAATAGAATAAATTTCTATTAAAATACCGTTTTTAATGAGATCAATATTTAATGTTTCCTATATTATTTTTATTCTCTTTGATTTGAAATATATCTTCACATCCTAAATTCTGCGTCAATGACGTTTCGATTCATAAATCTAAACAGCACTGAGCTCGGACCTTTTTCGTATTTTTGGAAATATATTTAAAATGGATATTAAGGTATGGATTTATGATTTTTATTTATTTGTTTATTTTTATGAAGATTAAATCAAAATATCATTGATAAATGAAATTTAGACCTACACTTAATTAATTATTCAAAATTCTATTGGAACTAAGCTTATAATTTACGATTTTTTTATGCTTCCTTTACGATTTTTTTATGCTTCCTTTGTTATTTTCATTCTCTTTGTGTTTAAGTACATCTTAATACTTCCTCTATAATTCAGCGTTATTGCTGTTTTACTTCACAAATTTAAACTGCAACAAGTTTGGATCTATTTATGATTTTTCGGTGTTTTATAAAATGGTTCGTATGAATATCTAATTTAAATTTATTAGTATATTTTTAGAAGATTAAAAAAAATCAAATAAACTGCAATTTCAGAATTATGTTTAATAAATAATCTTTCGGAATTTCGTTCTTTTTAGAACCATATTAATAAACGGGAACTTTTGAAATACAATCTTCGAACATATCAGATTATGATTATGTTAATCACAGAATTTTTTTAAGATTGTTTTTAATAAACAGTAGGCGCAAAACTAAATTTCTCGAATTAAATTTTTTTCGAATTTTGTGATTACAAATTATATTATTTTAACATCCTGTTAAAGAAACCGAAACTTTTTTATGGTTAAAATAATTAATAAACAGTATACATTTTTCACAAATTACTTATTTTCTTCAGTGGTGCTTAACTCAAATTATTTAGCAATTTTTACCAAAGTGAATGCAAAATTATAAAAAAGGAAATTGTATCCAACAACCCCTATATTTCCACAATATTTAAAGTAGCACATATATAAATATTAAAATTATCCTAATTTGTTTAATTTTGTCAGGAGTCAAAAATTTCACAGAATAGTTCACATGTTTTATATATGTGTTTAACCCCTTGATATATCATTTCTTGAAATAGAAATGATCTTTGATTTAACTGTAGACAATAACTCGCAACGGAATGTTGACAGATATGCCAACTGCTCCGGACAAGTCATAATAATTAAATAAACGATAAATAACTACAAATTAAATTTTACAAATATTTGACTGTTTTTTCATGTTTTTAAAGCGGTATGGCATGACATAACTACTTAGGCTCAGATGTAGTACGAAGTACCTGCCCGCAGAGCGGGCATTCCACTTCTTCGTCTGTATTGATGCCCATATGCCACTAGAATACTGTGTTACATAACTACTAAAAAGTTGTGAATAATATAAGCCTTCGAATGTATATTATATAAAACGCTAATACGTATGTATCAATAAAACCGATGATATTTCTTTTCTCGCGTTGGCAACAGTTTTCATTTTTAATTGATAGGATTCGGCGCGCAAGAGCACGTAGTGAGCATCATATGGCTAACTATATTATAAAACGCTAAAACGTTTTAATTGATAGACTTCGGAGCGCAAGAGCACGTAGTGAGCATCATATAATGTTTATACGACGCCATAACCATAATCGAAAAGTTAAAAATGGAATAGTTATGTTTCAATGCTTTTTACTTTACAGAATGAATTTTTAAGCATTTTATTTTCTTTATTTTATCTTTACTAAATTTCCTCGAATATATATACATTCTTGGGACAGAATAAATTGTCCGTATACGGGAAGGGTACCGTAATAACGAAGTTAAACACCGTAAATTGTTTTTAGAATATTTTCAAAAATAAAGGAAATAAATAAATAATCTTCTTCAATCACTATCTACGAGGATAGTTATTTAAATTAAAAAAATAATTTTCCGATATAAAAGAATATGTAAAAAAGTTTGATATAAATACATAATTCTAGATGTAGATATAAATAATTGAATATAATTTTCCTATTAGCATAGATATTCAAGTTAGACATATGATACCGAATAGGAGTTTTTAGTACTCAGTCTATTTCAATTAATGGGCTTACATCCCCTAAAACCTACCTATCACTTGATAGGAAACGTGGTTAATACCTCCTTGGAAGTAACTCTCCCATGATTCATAGGAAAAAAAAGCAATTCATGCCTGTAAGTCATGAGGACCTCTGGAGTTGATTATTTAAAATTGATCATCTATGAAGTGTCTGAATAAATACTTCGTTTATACAAAACCTTAAAGATTATACTTCTGTTCTCTTTTTTTTACCCCAGCTGTGTGAAATACAGTCTTCAAATTGATAAGAAAAATAAAGAAATTTTCAGTGGGGAAGAAGCATTGAGAGCATTCAAGGTGTTATTTTGACATGAGGGGTCTCATAACCTGTGTTGTCCAGATAAA